GGGTCCAAGCAGGAAGACTTGTTTCCCATAGTGTTTTGTTTGGCTGGTGAGGTTTTAGAAATTTGTAAATATGGGGACCAGCAGATGGCGTAATGGCTACATTGCTGGACTCCCGAGTAGTCGACCACAGTTCGAGTCCCAGACCTGGTGGCTTAAACTCACGCTGGGCATGTGCATGTGCGTGCCCAAGGTCCCAAGAGGAGAATGGAGGAGAAGGGACTGCAGCATGGTCATCCCCTCTGGAAGGTAATTTCTCACCTTCTATCTCTCTGTCTCTTTCTGTCTTTCTGATGAGTGCACATGCCCCATATCAGGCTAGGCATAGTCTTCATCGTACCTCCTGTGCATAAATATGCTCATCTGTGTTCACAACACACACACACACACACACATACACAATTATGCACAAACACACACAATCATACAAATGCACACAATTATACACACATACATTGACATGTATACATACACAATCATACACGCACAACTGCATAAACACACACATATATTGACACACATACATACACACACAACTGAACACAGTATTTGTTTTTCTGCTACCTTACCTAACTATACTTTGAAAGTATCTGAGTTTGTGTCTCCTTTGTTAAGAATTTCAACCAGGTGACCAACAGGGTAATTGTTTTATCACTGGACTCCCATGTAGTTGACTGCGGTTCAAGTCCTGGACCTGGTGGCTTAAAACTCACACCAGGTGGTTGTGCATGCCCAAGATTCTAGGATGAGAATAGAGAAGGGATTGTAGCATGGCCATCTTCCTGGGGGGTGATTTCTCACTTTCTGTCTCTCTGGTGAGCACACGCGCCCTATAGCAAAAATCTCTCTAAAAAAAAAAAAAAAAAAAAAAAAGAATTTCAACCAGAAAGGACATCGACAACTGTTGAAAACTGAGAAGCAAAGAAGTAAATCTATGATCCACACAAAATTCATAAATTTAGGTGATAATATCATTCATAGCAGTAGAGAGATAATTACTTAGATTATTAAATTAACAAAATAGCTACCTATAGGAGATATGTAAATTTCATATATTTATTTATTCTACTTCAAAGATTATGCCCTTTTTGATATTGCTTCAGATAAAAAGCTCTCAGGATCCTAACCAGGTCATGAGGTCAGTAGGTCAGATTTGTGAAGATCATTTTAACTTTTTAAGTAGTTCCACATCTGTGGTACAAGGTTCTAGAACAGAAGAGCGAGCAATGAAATTAAGGTATAAGGACAACAGAAACAGAAATGGTCACATAAGTAAGTAGTATATTTAAAAGTTCATCTTGAGGGACCAGTAGTTGGCGTAATGGCTGTATCTCTGGACTCCCATGTAGTCGACAGCAGTTCGAGTCCCAGACCTGGTGGCTTAAACTCACGCCAGGCACGTGTGCATGCATGCCCAAGATTCCGAGAGGAGAATGGAAGAGAAGGGATTGCAGCATGGCCATCCCCCCTTGGGGGTGGGGGGTGATATGTCGTCCCCCCGGCGGAGTGATTTCTGATTTTTTGTCTCTCTGTCTCTAAAAAAAAAAAATTCACCTTGAAAGATCAAAGGAAATTTTTTTTTGGAGAGGTTTTTTTTATTTTGCTATAGTGCACGTGCGCTCACCAGAAAAACAGAGAGAGATAGAGAGACAGAAAGCGAGAAATCACCCCCCAAGGGGAACGGCTAAACTGCAATCCCTTCTCCTCCATTCTCTTCTTGGGATCTTGGGCACACACACATATGCACCTGGCCACTGGGTCCAGGACTCAAACCACAGTCAACTACATGGGAGTCCAGTGGCATAGTCATTACGCCACCTGCTGGTCCCCAAGGAAAAACATTTTTAAAAGAAGAAAGCATACTACCTAATTCACATTCCAAGAAACCTCTTCCAATTATTGTCTAATTCTAAAAGTTTTCACTGATTGTTTAATTCTCTGTCCTCCTTGGATAATGCCAGAGCTTTAACCCTTGAGGAACTGATGGAGTTCCCCAAATTTTGACAACACAGAGAAGCCCTTCCACTGACTCACATCCTGATTATGTTCATCACGTGGCATTTGGAACTCAGTAAATATTCTGACTAGGAAAATATGTTAGGATATTATCATGTGAATTTAACCAATGCTCATCAAAGTTCCTTATGATTTCATGGATAACTATGAGTGGCCCATTGAAAAATCCTATTTACTTCATGCTCTCCATAAAAATTAGCACTATGATCATGTGATACAAGCATACATTCATAGCCAGTCAGCATCCATGCTGATTACAAATTCATCCTTTCCTAATCTTGAATCAGTAAGTATTCAGAAACACCAATACATAAAAGTAAGTAAGAGAATAAATAGAGCAATTCAGGCATTCGTTAGCAGAGAAATCAGAGGTAAGCAGACTCAGTCCATGTTAAATCATACATACCAAAGGTAGACAAAAATAGCACTCCTTTTCTTTTTCTTTAAAAGAGATTTCTGCTATAGGGTGTGTGCACTCACCAGAGAGAACTCGCCCCCCCAGAAAGGATGGCCACACCACAATCTCTTCTCTTCCTTTCTCCTCTTGGAATTTTAGGCATGCAGGCACATGTGCCAATATGAGTTTTAAGCCACCAGGTCTAGGATTTGAACCGTGGTCGACTACGTGAAAGTCCAGCAACATAGCCATTATGCCATCTGCTGGTACCAAATAGCATTCTTTTTCAAAGTTTGTTTGTTTGTTTCAATCGGCAAGAGAGAGAACAAGAGATGACTATAAAGAGAGAGAGGATGAGCCACTCCCATGGCCTGGTGGTTTTGGCAGCTGGATCCCCCATGGTCAACCATGCGGTTCCAGTCCCAGACTCCGCGGCTTGAGAAACACACCGGCACATGTGTCCGCATGTCCAAACTCCCAGAAGGAGGGAGAACTGTAGAAGGGATGGCAGCATGACCCTCCCCCATGGGAGGTACTTTCTTACTTTCCCTCATTCATTCTCTCTCTCTCTCTTTCTCTCTTTCTCCAGTGAGCAAATGCATCCTCTGGCTAGGAAGAGACAGAGACAGAAACAGAAATTGCAAAACAGCACCCCAACAGAGTCTTGGTGCTACAGTCCTCCCCAGCCTCAGCCAGCCCAGCTCATAGGTGTGTGCTTGCTCAGAAAAAGTACTCTCAAATCCACTCGAGCCACTCCCATGGCCTGGTGGTTTTGGCAGCTGGATCCCCCATGGTCAACCATGCGGTTCCAGTCCCAGACTCCGCGGCTTGAGAAACACACCGGCACATGTGTCCGCATGTCCAAACTCCCAGAAGGAGGGAGAACTGTAGAAGGGATGGCAGCATGACCCTCCCCCATGGGAGGTACTTTCTTACTTTCCCTCATTCATTCTCTCTCTCTCTCTTTCTCTCTTTCTCCAGTGAGCAAATGCATCCTCTGGCTAGGAAGAGACAGAGACAGAAACAGAAATTGCAAAACAGCACCCCAACAGAGTCTTGGTGCTACAGTCCTCCCCAGCCTCAGCCAGCCCAGCTCATAGGTGTGTGCTTGCTCAGAAAAAGTACTCTCAAATCCACTCCACACACACAAGCTTTCCAACGTTGGTGATGGATAACAAAAATTCCGTTTTCTGTTTATCCTAAAGCTATGTTCTGAATGCCAGGATATCTAACCAAATGGAGTCTAGATAGTAAGTGGATTCTGTATGGGTTTGCTCGGGCTGCTATAACAAAGTATCCCAGACTGGTGGCTTATGGAACAAAAATGGATTTTCTCCTAGTTTTCAGGGCTATAAGTTTGAGATCAAAGTACCAGCCATGGATTTCTTTCGAGGCCTCCATCTTTGGCTTGTAGATGGTCTTTGTGATGGGTCATGTTAAGTGTCCACTGTGTCACAGGCTACCCAGATCAGCAGTGGGGGGGCGGGGGGGGAGGCGTGTCCATGTGGATGTTTCAGGATGGTAGCATTTGAGTTGGTGACAGTAAATCAGATGGCCCTCTGCAGTGTAGTTGGGCATGGACCAGTCCACTGAGGTCCATGAACAAAAGGTGGAAGGAGGAACTCACCCTGTTCTGCTTTGCCCCACTGCTTGAGCAGAGGTATCTCATCTTGCTTCTCCCTACTCCCTTAGAGTAGGATTTGTATCCTCCATCTCCTGGTTCTCAGGCCTTTGGCCTTGGACCGAACTACATCTGTGACTTCACTGGGTCTCCAGCTTGCTGATAGTAGATCACAGGACTTCTCGGCATCCATAACATGTGAGCCAGTTCCTCACAGTAAAAGGTGTGTGTACCCATCTGGAGTATTTCCTTCTATCTGTTCATCTCATGCTAGTTAACTCTTAGTGAAGTTTGGATAATAACACTTTTTTTAAAAAACCCAAAAAACACCAAAAATTGCATTGCATATATGTTTCTTTTTAATTTCACAATCTTAAAAAATATAAACCACGAAGTATTTTGAAAAAAGTACACAGACTCATGTAGCAGCCACAGTGTTACAAAAATAGAATAACACAGAATGAAATGCACGGCAGAACCAAATAATCTCTGCTGAATCATTCTAACTAGGAACACAGAATGGTCACTAGGGAGGTTAAGTGGACCAGCACTGCCATTTTTCCATTATTGGTTATCATCAAAATCAATCACAGGACCTATTCCCAGGAGACATTCCATTTACTATAGGAATACATGCTAGGTATAGATAATCAACTTACTAACATCTTGAAGTTAGTTTCACAATACCATTTTGCCTTTTCCTCTGAGAGACAAACTCAATGGCCAGGTGGAACAATGGAGAAAACGGGATACCAAGCCCCTAACTGGCCCACACCTTTCCCGGCTGGTTCCAAAACACAAAAAAGAAAAGGATGTCTGCAATGCTGTCCAACATGGTAGCCACTAGTTCTGTGGCTCTTTAAATTTTTTTTAACATATTATCTCACTCATACTATCTCTTTTTTTCTTTCTTTATCTTTTTTCCCTTCCTCCTTCCCTCCCTCTCTTTCTTTTTCCTTTCCCTCCTTTCCTCCCTTTCTTCCTTCTTTCCTTGCTTGCTTCCTTCCTTCCTTCCTTAGAATTCATCCAGGCCCAGCCTGGAAGTGTGGCCAGTAACCAACTGAACTGCAGTGGCTGGATGCCATACAGCTGACCATGGTTCAGATTCCTGGGTCAGCTTGAGCTGGAGGTCTGGGTAGAGGGGATTACAGGGTGGCAAGACCCTGTCAAGGATGCTCCTGTCTCTCATCAATGCACTCACTCTATCATGAATAAAATAAAACTTTAAAAAGATGAAAAAATATATTTTTTTAAAAATTCATTCATCCATTTCTTTTATGGGAGAGAGGCAGCATCCCCAGTAGGGTTCTGATAAAGCAACCCACCCCCAGCTCCAGCCAGGCCTGGATCATGTGCACACATGCACCCAGTGTGCTCAGGGAGGTCTCTAGGTATGAACCTGGAACCTTCCCATATGCCTTAGCCTTGCAAAGTGTCATGTTTTGTCATTGTATCATTGTCTGGCTCCCTTATTTAAATTTAAACAAAGTAACATTTAAAAAAAGCTTAAATTTCATTTCCTCGGTCACACTACTCACATTCTAAGCAGTCACGAGCCATTTGTGACCCTGTGGCTAGTGGTTAGCACACTGGACACTGCAGCTGCAGAACAATTCTGTCATCACAGGGGGTTGTTTGCACATCCCTGGATGTGGGAAGTGTTTCTTCTCCCTTTGTTAGCCAGGATGTAGGCTGCTCGTGGAAACAGCTCTGAGAGGTGAGTCTTCTCCCAGGATATTCCAGGATTGACAAAGTCACAGAAGGAAGTAAAATGTCTTTGCATAGATTGGCCTCCCCATGCAGAAGGGGGGAGACCTTTGGGTGGGGATCAAATACAGAGACCTACATTCCCCTAAGATCTAACCACCAGGAGAATCAGGAAGAAGATAAAGAAGCAGAGGAGGAGGAAATTGCAAAGGAGAAATCCTTTACCCTATGCCAAAGCTCCGTGAAGAAATGGCACCCACCAAGAATGTGCGCATATTCTCAGTGTTCTCTTCTTGAAAGTGCTGATGGGGGTCAAGCAGACCAGGAGGCAGAGTGTGCAGCACAGTCCTGTGCACTGTTCTGTGAGACAAGCTGGCCTATCTTCCTCTGCTCCATCTTGGAGCTGAGCAGTGTTGCTTGGAGTGTCACAGATGGTGAAGGGTCTACATTTCTTTATGCTTTAAACAGTATGCACCTTTACAGCCAGATTCTGAAACCAAGGCATAGCCTGTCAGTTGGCCAGTCAAAACCCACATCTTCATCCTTATCAAGAGATCAAAGATTTGTGTTGAAGGCAGCAATACATCCAACTACACAAACTACATTCCTCTGCAATCGTGCTGCCAGCAGTGGCCAATAACACAGTGCTAGCCAATGAAATATAAGCTAAATCCATTGGGCTGCTGAGAAAGCTCTTGACAAGACAATGGACTCAAAGTGGCATACTCTGTTTTCGCTTTGGTCTTCCTCCTTCTTGCAGGGAATCGCAGAGATATCGTGGAACCTAGAGGAAAAAGCCAGAGGAACCTCAGCAGCACCTACATCTGTGAACTGTTAAGCCAACACCAGCGTTTGCCTACTTGCCATCCTCTCACTACATGAGAAAAGAACAAATCCCATACTCCGTTGAAGCCACCGTTCAGTTCAGTAACCTCCTACTCTATTATCAAGATAGCATCCATCTTGATTCCCAAAAGGAAAGTGACATTTCCATCTGCAAGTGAAATATGTATGGCCTGAAGAATCTCTACCTATTGAATAAATTCAAGTAACTTCATAGAGCTGTACTGATAAAACAAAGGATAAATCTAAAGACTTTAATTCAAACATGTCCATGACTTTAGGATCTGTCCACGTCTTCAGGATCTGTCCACACAGACCAAGACTGGCAGAAATGATCAGCCTGGTTACACAATGTAGCTGCTATGAAGGAAAATCAAAAGGTTTTGTAGCTAAATCCTCCAGGAAGTTTTTTTGTAAGTGGGTGTTATATTCTGATTACAGTTCTAAACACAGGTCTACCCTTCTGATTATAAACTTCCATGCTTACAACTCAGATGGTTAGCCTATAACTTTATTTATTTTGCATAGACAAAATAAGAAACGGAGAATTGAAAAGTTTATTTATTGATTCAAACACACAAACAAAACTACATCAAAGATCAATGACTCAATTCTTTTTTTTGGTCAGAGGGTACATGTACTCACCAGAGATGAGAAAGATGAGAAAGAAGAGAGAGAATCCTGTAGTGGAACGTGGTCATGCCCAATCCCTACTCCCCCATTTTTATATCCTGTTATGATTGTGAACATACATACACACAAGGCACCCAGGGTAGTCTTCAAGTCACTGGGGCTGGGATTCGAACTGCAGTCAGCCATATGAGAACTGGTCCCCTTAACCACTGTACTTTGAGACTGGCCCTACAACTCAATTCTTATTTCCCCTTACTTGACACAGCCACCTGACAGTGGTATCCTAATGATTCTAGTGTCTTAATTATAGATTGAGCTTAAATAAGCAATACCTCAGAGTAGTTATAAAAATTAAAAACCAAGTATAGTACCACGTCAATACTTTTAATGCATTACATTATCTTTAGTATTCCCAAGTCTCTAGATTAATAAGTATAACTTAGAAAAAACAATAAACATTCTACTATGCCAAATGGTTTAACCATTTGCAATGTTTAAATTTTGGGCCCTTTAAAATGTAATTCTATTGCACATATTTTGAAACATAGACAGAAATGGAAACATGGACTGTCAAGCTAAATATAGGGGATAGCATATTTTTTACTCACCTAGTTCCAAGTTTCCACCCCTGCGAGTGAATCAAAAACAAATCCTGGCACCTCGTCATTCCCAGAAAAGCCAGTGCATGGCACACTCTGGATACATCTTTCTCTTATTCTGTAGAATCACAGCAGATGGCATCAGTCCTGCATGTACAGCTGTGCTCTAAAATGGAAGTTCAGACATAGGAATCTACATTATTAGGCATTTTAGATTTTGTACATGTGAGTGTGACATCATTCTCATTCACCTTTAAATGGTAACCTTTCCATCCGCAGGTCATGTGCACTTACAAACTTAAAAATAAGTGAAAGGATCAGACTGTCCTAATAAGATTTGAAGTCATTTTGAACTGCTGAAAGTTAAGAACAATAATGAAATAAAAATACTTGAAATAAAATACTAATATTACATAATAGAATTATGGCTCACTTTCTTAGAGTGTAAGAAATTCAATTCAGCCTCTAACATGGCTGAAAGTTCACTAAAAACCTTTTATTAAAAATAAAAGATAGGAATCTTCTATAATCAAGTTACACTTACACAATCAATATTTTCAGGTGAGTTAGTGCTTAGCTCATATTTATACCATCTTTTTTTGTTGTTGCTTTTTAATTTGTCTGAGGGTGCGTGTGCTTGCTAGAGAGACAGAGAAAAAGAAAGAGAAAGCATTTCCCCCAATGGGGAATGGTCACACTAAAGTTCCTTCTCCTCCATTTCTCCATCCTGTTGGCATTTGGGGGCATACATGTACACATGTATCCAGTGTGTTTTTCTTTTCTTTTTAAAAACATTTCCATTTAATCACTATACCTCTTTACAGTGTACAATATGGTCTTCCCCAGCATGAAAACAGTACATATTAGTCACTTGGTGTGTTTTTCAAGCTGCTGAGCAGAAACTCAAAAGTGTGGGCAGCCATGTAGTACTTGACACCCTTAGCCACCAGATCCCAGGCTGGTTCTCCACCATATTTAAAAATAGGCTTGGCACAGTGATTGTCAGACCCAGGTGTGATCAGTGGATGGAGTAACCAAGAAGTAGAAACCTGGAACCTGGACCATTACGGGTGGGCCAAAAATTTATACAGACAGCCCAAACTAGGAGTTCAAAGGTAGTTCTCACTTGAAGATTAGGCTATGTTGGTTCATTGGGGAAATTATGATCAAATGAACAGGTAGACAAAGGCAGCTCACATACAGGCATGGAAGTGTCAAAAGCAGACTCTAACAAAGCAAGGCAGGACAGGAGACCAACCACAGCAGGTTATTAGAGTCAATGGGAGGAGCCTTAATATCCAGAGTTCAGGGCCAAGTTCTAAGCAGAGGTTGGGTAGTAGAAATAAATTCTTGTCATTTGATACGTTTGTTTTATTTTTTTGTACAAATGGGGAATTAGAAATTAATGAACTGAGTTAAAAGGAGATTATAACATGGTACTTAACACAAGACAACAGGGCAACCACTTCTTAGAAACTTATATCAGTAATATCAGTGTTTCTTTAATACTGGGACAGCAACAGATTACTCGCCCTGAGTTCTCTATAGTATCCTGGCTAGAAAGAGTCACCAGCCAGCTAAACATCTGGACATCAGTGGCATTACTAGGAAGGTTAAAGGATTACAAAATCAAGAAACCAAGCAGGTGGTCCAAATAATTTGTGTTCTTGTTATTTATAAAGTATGAAATGACTGTTTTCCATCCTTGTGAGCAATTATAATTGGTAATTAATTACTCCCACATTCATCTTTAATGTCCATATTAATCATACAACTCTGTAAATGGCAATGCAGAGCTATCAACCAATTAGAAAATTTTATTTCAGACACAATACAGCATCATTGTAGTTGATTCTAAGAATTCAAACTGGAAATTGAAATCGAGTCTTACTACAACTCTGATAAAGACGTGAGAATTTGCTCATGACACAGTAATTAAAATAAACCACTTACTTCATTAAGAACAGGTCTATTTTGGCAAAATGAGAAAGAAAATGTGGGAAGTTATCTGAATATCTCAAGCCAAAAACTTTCTCCATTATTATTTATTTGAGACTATGTTTTTCTTCCTTTGCATGATCAAAATAATTGTCTCCCACTTCACTACTGTATTATCAACTTTTACAAAACTTAGTGTTTCATGGTTTTTAATCTCTCTATAAGGTCTTTCTTTGTGTCTAAAATGAGTATTTTCTACACTATGGTCATGACATGGACAGCGAACCCACCCTGATATGACTAAACCCAAATCTCCCCTTATCGAAGAAAAGTGATATCTGCATAATATATAGTACGAGCATTCGTTGGAGACACAGAAAGAGACAGAGACATAAAGTGAGAAATCACGCCCCCAGGGTGGATGGCCACCCTGAAATCCCTTCATTCTCCTCTCAGGATCTTAGGCATGCATGCACACGCCCTGTGTGAGTTTCAAGCCACCTGGTCCAAGACTTGTATCACAGTCCACTATGTGGGAGCCCAGTGTCCCAACCTTTAGGGCATCTGCTGGTCCCATCCCTGGACCACTTTTTAAAGCCCTGGATCTTCAGAAGTGTAGCCACAGTGAGGGGCAACATGAAACCCTGAGAGGTCTCAACCTACCATCTGCAGGAAACTTCAGTCTCCCATCTTCCAGGCCTTGTCCTTCCAGAGCTCCTGAGCCGTAAGTTGGGTTCTCACCCACCAAGGGCAGCAGCTGGACTCCAGCTATCAAGATGAAATAAACCTAGGAAAAAGCTTCTGGAAGATGAAGTAGTCATTTCCAGAACTAACATCGCCAGGCGGGGGCGCGCTGGTAAATTTACTCCTGCCCATCAATCTTCCAGCTCTAATCAATTAACCTAAACCCACAGACTCGCTTTCCTGTCCCTTTTTCCCTGCTGCTGTGCAAATAGTACGTCTCTTCGGTGGCCCTCCACGGCATCAATAAGAGGTCACGTACCACAAAGGCATCTTCCAAATGACTCTCAGGGAAAGTTCACCCTCCATTGTTCCAGGTTCTAAATCACCCTGTGTCTGCAGGCACTAACGGGGTTGGTAGCTCCTCATTCCTCAAATGGGCTACTTAAATCCTCATTCCCACCAGCACAGCCAAACTCTATTTACCGTCTCCCAAAGCGCAAATTATGTGTGTGTGTGTCACACAAAGCAATATATGTATGTTTCAAGCGTGCCCTATGTCCTCCTACCGCCGGTTCCAAAGCCCGTGCTCTTTGTCAAAAATTTGGATATTTAGGTTGACACTCGATCAGCTGGCTACTACTATGATCTGAGTGATTCCGTTTTTCATCCCTGGGGTGCAAGCTAAAATGCTCAACTGCCCTGAAATTGCAAAGAATGGCTTGCAGGTGCTCAGGGCCATTAAGGTTCCATCGGCTGGACGTCTCTTCTCCACCTCTTCCCCACCCTGGAAAAACTCACTGTCCCTCCCGAGGAGCTCGGCACCAACCCAGACCCCATCCAGCCGCGGTCCCCAGCACCCGAGCGGCGAGAAGCCTGGAGCCAAGACTTGCATGCCTCCGCTGGGGCTCTCACGCCCGAACCCACCTACCAGCCGCGCAGAGCCCGGGACCTGCTAGCTGAGCAGCGGCGCCAACAGAAAACCCGAGGCCGACACGCCGAGCGCGCTGCCTTCCAGCAGCGCCCGCCTCGGGTCACACCGCTTGCTCACGGGAGAAGCCCCAAGGCTCCCGGTGCAGAGAGAGGCGCCCTGGCTGCAGAGCCCCGGCCGTGCTGGCCACCGAGTTCTTCAGCTGCTTGATGACCACGAAGAGCAGGAGGAAAAGTAAGAAAAGCAGGAAGAAGAAGAGCGCCAGGTACGCCCACTTCCAGCCGCCCGCCAGCCCAGCGCTACCGTGCCGGCTCTGGGGTCCGCGCTCTGCCTTTCCCAGCTCGGAAGAAACAAGCCCAAGAGCTGGTCTAAGCCCGGCCCCAACGCCCGGTGGAAGCACCTGCGCCTCGCGCGTGGCTGAAAGCCTCTCCGAGCTCTTGAGGACGCGAGCGGATTTTTCTAGGCGCGAACTTCAGCGGGCGGGGACGCCAGGGCAGAGCTAATGGTTCCGTTCCCCGTGGGGGGTGTCGGGGTTGATGTTTTGCAAATGATCCCAAGTTATCCATTCCCAACCTTCATTAGGGTCTCGAGCCCCCTCCCTAATTAATTTTCCCCTGTTCCAGCTTTCCGAAAAGTTGGGTGATGCTGTGGCGGAGAAACCGGAGTTAAAGGTGACAGTGTAGATGGAGCTGAAAGCCTAAGAGATGCCTTTGTGCTGAAATAGTTTGAGGGTGCCTGAGTGAATTCCAGGTCAAGCTCCTTGCTCTTTAGAGGTGTAGGTGCACTCAGCATTTAGCATACTTTTCTATGGAGGACAGATCCTTTAGAAAAGCATCAAGGACAAAAGGCATTTCAAAAGTTATACTGTATAAAGCCTTCATTTAAAATTTTTTATTTACTTTTATTCACGATAGAGAAGGAATAGCACCCTTAATAGGGTCTCATTACGCTGAAATCGACAGCCCCTTTCCCTTGTCAGGCAGCTGGTCAGGATCTTGGGCACCTGCAATTGCTGGGGATCCCAACCCTGGATGGCCATATGGCTTCCAGCACTGTGGTCAAAAACACTACACTGATTCATAGGCAGTGGTATTCTACAGTGGTTCATATGACTCACAAGTGCTGATTGTTAAATGTTGCAAGTTGATTGCTAAAATGTAGCTATTATTAAAAACGAAATCATATACAGGGCTAGCAGATGGCACAGTGGCAAAGATGCTGGACTCCCCCATGACCGACTGTGGTTCAAATCCCAGACCAGGCAGTATGAAAATCACACTGGGTACGTGTGCATGTTTGTCAAAAATCCTGAGAGGAGACTAAAGGAGAAGGGATTGTAGTGTGGCCATCCCCTACAGGAGGTGTTTTCTCACTCTCCCTCTCTCCAGCAAGTGCACACACCCTATGTCAAAAATTCTTGTGATCCTACCCCTCTACCCCACCCATAAAAATACGTCACATCTCCTTGGTGAGGTGGACTGAAGCACCTCTGGTTTTAGACATCCAGGTGCTTTCTCTCAATAAACTTTCCTTTTTCTCTTAAAAAAAATATATAAATTTACAATGAAATAAATTATGTTAACAACAAAGGTAAT